CCCCACACGGATGAACCTGCCAAGTGTGCGTAGGGACTCTTCAGTCTGGCCACCGGGTGCGGAACTTTGGTGGTGTGGCGAGACTGGCATCTCCTACTGTGTCGCCCTGGCAGAAAGACAGACAGTGACAGGTCACTGAGCACCGAGGCCCCTCATCAGCAACGCGTGGCATGCCTTCACAGGGACATGGGACAGCCCCATAGGTCCCGTAGGAAAGGGCAGAGCCAGGACGTTGAAAGCCAGTTCCTCTGGCAACTTCAATGCCACCTCAGAATCTCTACAGTCCAGAGTACACTCATCCGTGTGCTCTCAGTGTCTTCTCAAAAAACCATCTGGAGTTTGACCATGCAGACATGGCCAGTGGGACACATCTTTACTTTGGGCTGCCAGGGATTGAGCCAATGACCAAGATCTATTAGTAGGAGAGGGAAGGGTGTTGGGGAGTAAAACCACAATCTGTAGCTGCCGTGGCTCTACACCCTTCTAACAAGGCTCCCATGATCTCTCAGGCCAGCATATCTTTGTGAATTTCAACCTCCCGGACTTCGCTCTGGGCATCATTCTGCTCATAATCTCCCTGCTGATCCTCTGCAGCTGCCTGATTGTGATTGTCAAGCTTCTGGTCTCAGTGCTCAAAGGGCAGGTCGCCTCTGCCATCAAGAAGACTCTCAACACTGGTAGGTGCACTGCCCCCAATTCGGGGACTTGAGGGATGGCATCACCTGGAGGAATGGTCACGGGCTGCAGAGGAACCCTTGGATGCTCATCTCGCAGGAGCCTCTGCATGGAGTTTCTCTGTCAGATCTGATCAGCTGCAGAAGTTGAGGTGTCACTCATCCTGGGAGTTTTTCTTGGAGTCCTGAGGGGGATCTGGGGAGCAGGCACAAGCCCCTGCTGCATGGTGGCAAGGTCCTGAGAAACAGCCAGCCCAAGACCCAGGTTGCCAAGAGTTAGGTTTCCCAAAGCCCTTCCTGGCAGGACTTTCCTGGGTCTGTGAGGACCCCTTAGGAAGAGGATAGGAGGTGTCCATTCTTTGTCCCCACTTCCCTCCACTCTATAGAAGACAGTGAGGTCTGGATAAATACATCCGCACCCTGAGTCAGCCGAGGAGGCCCCACTGGCCAGGAGCAGCTCCTGCCAAGCACGGCGTCCTGGCCCGTGAGAGCACCCCGAGCCCATGATACCAGCACCCTGGGAAACTCAATAAAATTCTGCATCCTGGGATGTCTTGAGGGCGAGCTGAGCGACTCTGGGTGCCTGTGGGTACGGGGCACTGATGAGGTGCGGTGGGGCGGAGGGCTGGCTTGGGAGGGTTGTTCCAAGCTGCCCCGACTCCATGTTCGTGAAGTGGAGGGATGGCGGAAGGTGTGAAGCGATGGGTGACCAGAGCAGGGAGGAAGTGAGGGCTAAGCACTCTAGGTGCTTTGTGGGGTGGTGGGTCCCCTGATTCTACCTGACCTCCAGGGAATCTGCACTTTTGTCTTCCCAATGCTCACCTGCATTCTTGGTTTCACCATCTGTGTATGCAGGATGAAAGACTGGATTCTAAAAGTCCAACCTGCCATCTCAGACCACGTATGGAGTGGGGAGGTGTCTCCACAACCTCACGCTCTAGCCCTGTCGCCGTCCCGGGGTCCCCTGGAGGTGCCAGCTGCACCTCCAGCCCCTGCCTTACCCAGAGGCACTGAGGTCTCTTCTCCCCTTGTCTTCCAGATTTCCCCTTTCCCTTCGCCTGGGTGACTGGCTACCTGGCCATCATCGTGGGGGCAGGCATGACCTTCATCGTGCAGAGCAGCTCTGTGTTCACGTCCGCCATGACCCCGCTCATTGGTGAGTTTCTTCTCCCTGGCTTCATCCCCTGGCATCCGTTGCCATTTCTTGTCATCCCCGGGCTGATGCCACGTGCCTTGTGCTTTCCCGCAGGTATCGGTGTGATCAGCGTTGAGAGGGCGTATCCGCTCACGCTGGGCTCCAACTTGGCACACCACCACCGCCATCCTGGCCGCCTAGCCAGCCCGGCAACACGCTGAGGAGCGCGCTCCAGGTCAGGACTGCGGGGCAGGGGCTGCCTGCGGGTGGGAACCGCCCCCATCCCTGGTCTTGCAAACCAGCTTCTGACAAGAGCCAGCCATTTCCCTCGTGTCCAAACAGTGGAGCTAGGTGCGGAGGAGAAGCCACAGGGAGACAGATTCGAGCAGCTCGGCACGAGCACAGGAAAGCCGTTCTCCTGAGAGAGGCAGGCAGACCTGCACACTGGCTGCCCTTCCACAAAGTGTGGGGTGGTCACGTGATAAGACACAGAAAGAGAGTGTAGGAAGCGCAGAGGGCACCCCCCAGCTTCTCAGCGATGCCTGGGGGTGCTCCTGCCTGGGGAGCAGGCAGAGGTCACCTGTGCCAAGGGCCTGGCGGCTAAAGGAATCCGGGGGACCTGCCTTGCCCGGCTCAACAAGGTGACTTTGGATAAGACCTTGGGATTGAATCCTTATCCCACCATTTGTATACCAAGTGACTTTCCACAGGTGCCCTAACCTCAGCATCCATACGGGGATCTGAATCGCACCTCTACCACCTCCCGCCTGTGTGACTCTGGGGACCGAGCTTAACCACGTCGCCCCTCCGTCCTCTCATATGTGAAGGAATGAGGGTTGGCTCTGCACAGGGTGTTTTTGAGGATTTAAATAATTCACATAAAGTACCTTGCATGTAGCAAACACTCTAGACATGCTTGGTGCTTTTATTTTTAGTAGCTGGAGCCCAGCTTCCCTTCTCGCTACCCTTTTTAGAATGAAGCCAAGAAAGCAGTGACCCTATAAGCTTTTCTTTCTGCCCCTCCAGCTCTTAGCAGCTCTGCCAAGGCCTGGGCAGCAGTGAGCATATCCCTTGTTAGACTGGGCCTACAGGATGGCAGGCCCTTGGCCTCTGAGATGGGATTCCGCCCGGTCTCCCCCTGCGCTCCCACCCCGCCTCCTGGACACCAGTAGGTCCGCAGGGGCTACAGGTCCTCCTGGGCAGATCCATAAAGACACAGAAGTGTCCCGTGGGGACGCTTGCTAGCTGGCCTGACCCCCGCCCCAGTCCAACTCAGGCACGAGACCCTGACCCACCCTCCCTCTTGCCTTGCAGATTGCGCTGTGCCACTTTTTCTTCAATGTCTCGGGCGTCTTGCTGTGGTACCCCATCCCGTTCACTCGCCTGCCCATCCGCCTGGCCAAAGGCCTGGGCAACATCTCTGCCAAGTACCGCTGGTTCGCCGTCCTCTATCTGATCTTCTTCTTCTTCTTAATACCGCTGGCAGTGTTCGGCCTCTCACTGGCCGGCTGGCCGGTGCTGGTGGGCGTGGGGGTCCCCATCATCCTCGTCCTCCTCCTGGTGCTGGGCCTCGGGCTCCTGCAGTCCCGCTGCCCCCGAGTCCTGCCCAAATCGCTCCAGAACTGGAACTTCCTGCCCCTGTGGATGCACTCGCTGAAGCCCTGGGACAACCTCATCTCCTCGGCCACCAGCCTCTGCCAGAGGCGCTGCTGCTGCTGCCTCCTGTGTGGCTGCCCCAGGGTCTGCGAGGCCCTGGAGGAGGGGCAGGATGGGCAGGGCTTCCCCATAAAGGCCCCCAAGGCCTTTGATAACGAAGCCATGAGCAGAGAGGCCCAGGAAGAGGTCAAGGCCCAAGGCAATGCCCCAGGCCCAGAGGTCGTGTCCAGCAGCACTGCCTTGTAGGGGGAGCCCGGGGGTCGGGGAAGGACCTCGGGTCCCGCAGCTCTGCTCCCTCCCTGTTCTGCCCACCTTCCACCACCTCCAGGAGATCCCGTCCCCATTAAGTGGAGTTGGCACCAGACCTAGCTCCTTCCTGCTGGCCCAGCATGTCAGCCCCGATGTGGTTTTATCTCAGCCTCTAGTCCCTCGGGTTTCCACTCCCAGGAGGGCAGACAAGCCTGAAGGAGAATTAGACAGTGAACGGCTGGACGGATGATCACGTCTGCTCCTGCACATAACTGGGTTGGTCCATAGGACCTATTTTTCAAACCTAAACTGTCCTTTCGGAAGGAAAAGGCCCAAGGGAGGATGTATGGAAGGTTCTCAGAGGTGGATGTGAGTGTGTAGGTGGGTATGTGCACACAGCTCAGGCGTCTCTCTCTCTATCAAAGTCTGGCTGCCCCCAACATCCTTGCCCCAGACCAGCCTGGGTTAGGGGACATCGTGTAATGGTTTGGAAACTTGGCAACCGCAGGTGTGGGCCTTTCCCACTGCCCAGTGCCCCACCCACCCCCCATCAGGGTTTCCTCCCCTGGGCAGGGATATGAGTCCAAGCAGTTCACCTGCAGTGTCTGTCCTCAAGTGTCCGGGATGGAAGCCGCAGCTGAGCTACAGAGAGAGGCTCAGGATCCACTTCGGCTCACTCCTGTCTTTGTAAGAGGGAGAGGATGGTCCTGCTCCTGAGCTGGCCAGATGGAGGACAGGGGTAGGGATGGTCGGCATTTGGGGAAGACGGTTATCTGCCCAAAGAGCCCCGGGCTCTTATTAATTTCGTGAATACAGAAGCCATATTGACTATCGTTTGTTTGTCAGGTAGAGCCATCCTGTTGGAGCTTTTAGGATGAGCCCTGCAAGTTCTCCAGGCCCCTCCCAGGCACGGCTCACTGGAACCCCGGGACATGTCTGTGGGCGGAACAGGTCCCCCGCCCTCCCTGCCGCCTCTCTTCCCCGCAGCACGACTTCCTAGGTCAGACAGAGTGCTCAACTTCCTTCCTTCCATTCACCCATCCACTGGAACCTCTTCCCAGACATTTTTCCGTTTTCCCGTAGTAGAGCTTTGGCTTTCTGCCCTTTCCGTGCCTTAAAGCTCCAGACTTTTCCCAGGGGAGGAAGCCAGGGCCGGGTGACCTGCCCAGGGACCTTCCCGTGTAATGGGCCGCACATGCCCGAGAGTCAAAGGGGTGTGCTCCCACTCAACCCAGATGCCTGCTCTGTGCCTTCTAGAGCCCCTGTCCTAGTGACACCACTGCTACTGACCCCAGCCATCCCGAGTCCTCCGGCCAGGGCCAGCACCTTCACCTTGTAGAGGACAGGGCAGTTGGTGCCAACACGCTCCGTGACCCCGTCCCCTCCTGCCTCCCTTGCCAGCTTCCCCATCTTCTTAACAGGTTGGGACACCAGGCTGAGCCCTCCCTGGACACCCCCACCCCAGGTAGATGCCCTTTCCCAGACAGAGCCATTTATGCTTTATATTTATAGTCACGCACCTGTACAGCATTTTACCTAAGTTATATGGGAAAGGATCAGGTGATTTGTGCTGATAGTGCTGTCATTTGGAAGTAAGTCATCGTTCTTCTATGAAATGTAACGGAAGGCCACCTTTGTATATTTTGTGATACTGCCTTTTAGATACGCTCTGCGGCCACGCCCTCGCCACACACTCTGTAAATACGTAAGTTAAACCCGGGCGGGGGCTCTGGCCATCTCTGCACTCCGATGATTTTTACAAATTGAATCCGTGTACTTGTGTTCTTTTTTTTTTCGTGTACTTGTGTTGATTGTATTTTTGTACTGGTTATGGGAAGGGAGAAATAAAGATAATCAAACCCCCAAAGGAGTGTGTTGCTTTCAATTACGGGGCGATGGGGAGCTCAGTGGGTCCACTTCCTAAAAACGTGAGGTCTCTTCCCTCGCTTAGCAGCACGACCCTTCACCAGGGTCAGCTACGTAACTTGTGGGGTCCTGTGTTCAAACAGCCGGGGAAAAGTGTCTGTGTAGGTAGGAGAAGTGCAAAGCTTTCCTTTCTTTCCGTTTCTCTCTTGACTTGTCATGGGAATTTTCTTTCGAATGCTGTTCTAGGTAAAGTTAAAATTTAAACGCCATTATGAATTTTACATCTCATCTTTATATTTCGCAATGCCAGCTTTAAATGCAAACCAGAGCTCTAAACGCATAGATGGAATGATTCAAATTATATAACTCTTATTTTGTAGCTCGTACATATATTTTGTTCCTACCAGAACAGTGGGAACATGGCACAAAACTAATTCAGTTGTTGATTTCACTTCTTTTGAGACAGGGTCTCTATCAATCCGGGTAGAGTGCCGTGGCGTCAGCCTAGCTCACAGCAACGGCAAACTCCTGGGCTCAAGCGATCCTGCTGCCTCAGCCTCCCGAGTAGCTGGGACCACAGGCATGCGCCACCATGCCTGGCTAATTTTTCTATTTTTGTAGAGACAGGGGTCTTGCTTTTGTTCAGGCTAATCTTGAACTCCTGACCTCAAGCAATCCTGCCTTGGCCTCCCAAAAATGCTAGGATTTCAGGCAAGAGCCACCCCCCCCCGCCTGATTTCACTTTTTTTCCCTTTATTTTAATTATTTTTCTTCTGCTTTGACCAAATGATTTCACTTCTTTATGTGCACATTTCACCAGTACTCTCTGCCTTACTGATGAGTAAAGAACTAAAAGGAAAATAAACTATATGGATCATTCTTTCTTTCCATATCATCATTCTCAACCTAAGTCGTTGGCTAATAGAGGGAAGTTACATGAATGAGAAAAGACAGGATAGGGGTCCTTAGAGGGCCTTGTTTTTTGGAATGCTGTTGCCTTTTTGCTACATTAGAATATTCTGATTGGAATGCAAAGCATGGCCTTTTGGTGCTGCCAGTGTCCTGCCTATACTCCACGCTAGTCAGAAGAATAACATGTTAAGGGAGAGTTGATTTTAAATAAGAAATGCTTGGAGACGGGCTGTAAGCTGGTAGCACCTCTTTTTAGGCCAGCCGTGCTTAGGGCCGAGTTAGGATTGCGGACCAAAGGTGAATTTGTCCTTGGGATCACTTGCAGAGCTGGTTCCACACCTGGCTCTCTCAGTTACTTTCTCAATATCAATTTCTTCATCTGGAGTATGGGACAGTAACACTTGTCTTCCTGTGACTATGAAAGTGAAGTAATGTATGTAAATATTTAGCCCAAGGTGGGTTTACTGTAAGTGCCTGGCATATGGTTACGCCTCAGAATATAGGGGATGAGCATGCATGGCAGTTGTACAAGATACACTTCCCACGCTTGTTTGCAGTTTTCTTTGAGTGTTTCCAAAGTGAAATGCCAAGTCCGGGAGGCTGCTGTCAGCCACAGAAGCAGGCCAGCACTGGCCTTGGATTTATTATGGGGATGAATGGGACAGGCATCATGGGACCTGGGGGTGGTCTGAACACTGGGCTTAGAAGCCACAGGAGGACAAGATGCAAAGAACACTCAGCATTTTGGAAACAAATCATTGCTCTTCTCTTCTGGAGAGAGGCTCACATTCTAGTCCCAACCCATGGTGGTTGTGAGTGTTGCTTTAAATGGCTTATTTTTGTCAAAGTTGAAAATCAAATAGCTCTAGAGAGTTTATAACAAACAACATTGCCATGTGCTCCGTCCTCCCCAAACTCATATCTGCCCCTCTTGAAGTGATCCTTTCCATTTCCTACGGTGCTTTCTTCTGGTATTTCGTAGCATGCTTATTATATGATTTTAGTGGCTTCTTAATGCAGCCATGGACCTGTTTTGGGTTTAGCTCTCACCACGCCACCACTACTAATCACGCATTCTTCAAACCGATAGTCAATATTTACATTATTATATAAATGTGATAAACTGCAGAACTAAGTAGTGCACCAACATTATTTTATTTCTTTAATTGTTTTCATCATTGCCTATTGTCTTCATCACGTACCTATAAATGTTTTTCCTCAATTGCTCCAAAGTGTCTAATAACCTTTTTATTTTTGTGAGACAGAGTCTCACTCTGTTGCCCGGGCTAGAGTGCTGTGACATCAGCCTGCCTCACAGCAACCTCAAACTCCTGGGCTCAAGAGATCCTCCTGCCTTAGCCTCCTGAGTAGATGGGACTACAGGCATGCACCATCATGCCTGGCTAATTTTTTCTATATATTTTTAGCTGTCCAAGTAATTTCTTTCTATTTTTAGTAGAGATGGGGATCTCACTCTTGCTCAGGCTGGTCTCGAAATCCTGAGCTCAAATAATCCACCCACCTCAGCCTCCCAGAGTGCTAAGATTACAGGCATGAGCCACCTTGCCCAGCCCAAAGTATCTAATAACCTTTTAGTTTCTCTCTTCTTTCATTTTCTTTCTTTCCTTCACTTCCTCCCTCCCTCTATTCTCTTTCTTCCTCTCGCTTCCACCTTTTCTCTCACTCTCTCTTTCTCTCTTTTTTTCCTTCCTTTCTCTCTCTTTTTCTTTCTTTTTTTCCTTCTCTAATTTGACTCCTCACAAAAGGGTACAAAGGAAATAAAGAGCCCATGCGTGTGTGAAAATGCATTTTAATCTCACACTGGATTGCTTATCTGAATGCCACTGCCCTGGTGCATGGAAGGTGTTGCTCTTCTGTCCTCCAGAATCTCGGGGCCAAGAGACCATGAGGGGAGGTGGGCCCAGCAGACAGGCAGCACCACCAGATGTGCAAATGAGACCATCTCATAGCGTCCAGCCCCTGCCTGCCAGGTGAGACCAGCAGAACAGCCCAGAGAAGCCCATCCCAAATCGGGATGTAAATTGAAAGAAAAATTGAGTAAATTGAAAGAAAAAAAATAGTGATTAAATAAAAGGCACTAAGTTTTGGAGTTTGTCACCCCAGCACAAGATAACTGATAAAGAGCCCAGCTCTTCAAAGTGTAGACTTTGGCTTCAGTCCGATGTGTTTTCTTCACCTCATTGCTTATCCCTTGCCCTTCTTACCTCGCCTCCTTGGGTTAATTCCAAGAATAAACCCCTGTCTCCTGCCCGGAGTGGAGGAGCGGATGTGCAGGTCCACCAGTGTGCATGGTTCAATCACTAGCTCCCGCGAGCAGAATGAGCCAGCCCTCTCAGGCGCTAGCTGACCCGTGGCCTGTGAGTTCAGCATAAATTATGCCGCCGTAGAGTAAAAGTAAGCCTTCCTATTTGGCTCAGACGAATTACACAGGATCCCAAGGGTGTTCTGGGACCTGCCTGTTAGTGCTGAGATTGTAGTTTTGCATTTTTGCTTTGTTGGAGTCTTAGGAAGTCAGTCGATAACATCTCTTTCTTTCCTTACAGAATTTGGAATCGATTGTAAAGTAAGACATAAAAGACAGACCAATGGAGATGAAAATGTCCATTTTGTTACTAAGGAAGCTGATTGCATTATAAGATGTAGCTTTCAGATTTGCCAGGGAATGGGGGTGGGGGAGCTTACTCACTATT